GGGCGGCTCTGGGGGTGTAACTGGGGCACCGACGGGGGGAATGGGAAGGCCTGGGGGATGGAACACGGTGGGACTGGGGGGTGTTGGGGTGAGGGGGCTCCCCAAGGCCTCTGGAGCTGTCCCTGTGCCCCAGGTTCCTCCTAGATATGCCCCACGCGTGTCCCCTGGCCCCACCAATGGCCTTTGGGTCCCACACGTGTCCCCACACCACCAAGACCACCCCAATATGTCCCTGCACCCCAGGTCACCCCATAGCCTCCGTGTCTATCCAGAGACATTCCCCAGTGCCACCCGCACCCCCTTTCCCTGCTCAGGGCCCCCGCAGGGATGGAGGAGCGTGGGGAGGAGTAGGTGATGCCCCCAGATGTGCCCCATGTGTGTTCCTGTGCCCCCTCACACACCACACGTGTCCCCACGCCCTAGGGCACCCCACAGCCTGTTCTGGAGGTTCCCTGTGCCACCCCAGCCCCCTTGTCCCCCCAGGACTTCCCCGCAGAGATGGAGGGGCGCGGGCAGGAGGCGCCGGAGCCGGAGGTGTCGGACCCATCAGAGGAGGAGGAGGAGGAGGAAGAGGAGGACGAAGGCTCCGGGGTGCGGGTGACGCCGGCGCTGCTGAAGGCCACGACGGGCGAGTTCTCGCTGGAGTCCATCCTGCTGCTGCGGCTGCGCGGCCGCGGCATCGCCCACCTGGGCTGCCTGGCCGACTGCTCCAACCTCGAGTGGCTGGACCTGTCCGGCAACGCCATCGCGGGGCTGGCGCCGCTGGCCACGCTGCGCGCCCTGGCCGTGCTCAACCTGGCCGGCAACCGCGTGGCCAGCGTGGAGCCGCTGCGGGGCTGCCGCAGCCTGCGCCAGCTCAACCTGGCCGGGAACCGCCTGCGCAGCCTGCGCCAGCTGCGCTGCCTGCAGGGCCTGCGGCACCTGGAGAGCCTGCGGCTGCGGGACCCGCTGGGCAACCTGGGCAACCCGCTGTGCGCCACCCCCGCCTACCGCGCCGCGCTGGCCGCCATGCTGCCCGGCCTCAAGGCCATCGACGGGCAGCGCGTGGCCGGGCGCGGCAGCGAGCTCTTCCGCCTGTGCCGCGAGCTGGACGCGGCCCTGGACGGCGACGCCGCGCCCGCCGCGCCCCCGCAGCCGCCGCAGCCCTGGGTGCAGGCCGGCTTCTGGGAGGCGCGGCCCGCGCGCCGCAGCGCCGTGCTGGAGGAGGCCACGCGGCAGCTGGGCCAGGCCCTGCGCGAGTGCCGCGAGCTCGGCCGCCGCGCCGACGACTCCATCGCCCAGGCCCAGCGCGCGCTCGGCCGGCGCCACCACGGCAACTTCGGCTTCTGAGCGCCAGGCCGGAGCTGCCCCGGAGGAGGCCCGGCCTGGAGCCTGCGCTGTTGGAGGCCAAAGATTGGACTGGAGAACCCCCAAAGCCGACACGGCCCAAAGGCACTGTCACCTGAGCCGCAGCACCCCAAAAACGGGGCCAGGAGAATCCCCAGAGCCACAGCAGCCTGAGCTGTGGGACCCCGAAACCAGGGCAGGGATACCCCCAGAGCCATCACGAGTCCAGCTCCTTCATCTTCTGAACTGCGAGACCCCAAAAACAGGTCTAGGAGACCCTCAGTGCCACCCCTGCCCAACTTCATTTTCTTAGCCAAAGATCCCAAAAATGGATCCAGGAAATGCCCCAGAGCCCACACCGTCACCGCGATACCCCCAGAGCCACCACAAGCCTGTCTCCTCTATCTTCTGAGCTGTGGGACCCCCACACTGGAGCTAGGATACCCCCAGAGCCACCAGAGCCCACAGCAGGATCATGGGACCTCCCCAGTGTCACCACAGGATCCCCAGGGAACACCAGAGCAGCCGCGGGGAGCCCGGCCCCGGCTGTGGGACATCTCGGGGACAGGGGACACGGTGGTACCGTGCATTAAACATGTCCCACCCTCTGGTGTCCCTCTGTCCTGTCCCTCAGGGGTCTCCAGTGCTCAGCCTGCACCCGTCACGTCCCTGTCTGTCACTCCTGGGGACAGCAGGTGACACACGAGTGGGTGACACGGGTGATGGCAATGAGAGCCGTGAGAGCGGAGCCAGCGCTGGGTTTACTGGGGAGCGGGCACAGGCAGGGGGTGGGGACACGTCCGGGACCGTCCTCGGTCACACGGTGCTGGGGGGTGACAAGCAGGAGAGGCCGGGACCGCGGTGGCAGCGTCCATCGGTGCTGTGGTGCCTGGAAAGGGGACACGGAGTGATGGGATCCCTGTGCCCCCTGTCCCCACCCCGGGGTGTCCCCAGGGGTGTCCCCGTACCCACCTAGGCTGGCAGCCCCCGGGAGAAGGCGAACATTCCGGGCAGGTACAGTATGTCCCCCCCTTTCCCGGCCTCCTCCACCGCCCGGCACTCGGCTTCGTCCCGCTGCCGGATCTCCTGCGGGCACAGCAGGGGCTGGCACCGGGTGGGGACACGGGGGGACACCGGGGGGGCACTGGGGGCACCTCACCTTGGCCGTCAGGTGGTGGCTGGGGCCGCAGTTGTGGTACTTGTCGAGCACCTTGGGGACGTCACTGTTGTCGAACTTGTAACAGGCCAGGCAGGTCGGCTTCCTCTGGGGACACGGTGGGATGTCACCCCCGGGACCCCCGGGGACCCTCTGGCACCAACCACCGTCCCCTCTGCCCCACCCTGGCACCCTCAGCAGCATGGTGGGGGGCAGGGGGTCTGCGGGGGGCTGAGGGGCTGTGTGACCCCTGGGATGTGGAAAACCCAGGGATGTGCCCCAAGGGAGAGGGGACACCCAGGGATGGGCCCAAGGGATGGGGGACATGGAGGCATGGGGCCCTATGGGGGAATAGGATGTGCCCCAAGGGAGGGGGACAGCTTGGAATGTGTCCTGAGGGAGGGGGCGACACTCCAGGATGTGCCCAAGGGAGACGGGACCAGCCTGGGACGTGTCCCAGGGGAGGAGGGACACCCCAGGACACGTGCCAGGGGTGTCCCCTCACCCGGCTCTCCAGCACCCGGCAGTGCCGCTGCGGCGCTCGCTTCCGACACGCCGTCTGTGCCAGGCCCAGGCGGAGCTGCACGAACGTCCCCGAAGGGTCCTCCTGCGGGAACGGGGGTGGCAGGGTGTGGGGAACGGGGGTGGCAGGGCATGGCAGGACCCCAAACTCCTCCAGAGGGATCGCGACCTCCGGAGGGAATCCCAAACCCCACAGATTCCCAGGGAAATGCAGCCCCCAGCGAGACCCCAAACCCCAGGAGTGACCCCAAATCCTGGGGGAGAACCTGAACCACACAGATGCCAACCCCTGTGAGAGACCTCAAAGCTCCCATGGGAACCCCAAATCCCAGGTTTGGGAACTCCTGGGAAGGAGTTCTGAATCCCTGAATCGTGGAGACTCTCAGGTAAACCCATCCCAGGAATGACCCCAGGGTGGCTACCAGATGGGCAAGTGGCCCAAAGTGGGGGGGGTCCCTGGAGTCCTGGCCCTTCCCAGGCACAGGACAGTGTCCGGGGCACCCCAGGACGGACCCGGCTCCGGGGGCACCGGGATCAGCTCGGATCCGTTAATGAATAACCGAGCTCAGCCCGGCCAGCAGGGCCGATCCAGGGCACCCCCAGAAACCCCAGCACCCAGCGCCCACCTATTCCCTCTGGAACACCCCAACCCCCTCAGCGCCCACCTATTCCCTCTGGAACACCCCAACCCCCTCAGTGCCCACCTATTCCCTCTGTGATACCCCGATCCCCTCCCCATTCCTGTGGCCACCCCAGATCCTAATCCTGAACCCCAAATCCCAAAATCACCTGCTCTACGATCTTGTCCATCTCCCATTTCCTCCGGGACACCCCAATTTCCCCCTCAACCCTCTGTCTATTCCTTCTGGGACACCACAACACCCTCCCCATTCCCACGGTCATCCTGGATCCTGAACCCCGAATCCCAGTCCCCAATCCTGTTGCTCCCATGCTCCATGACCCCGTTCACCACCTGCTCCCTCCCTGATCCCCTCTCTGTTCCCATGGCCATCCTGAACCCCAAATCCCAGATCCCAATCCCTGCCCACCCCCTCCATGACCCCTTCCACTCCCTGCTCCCTCCTGGCCGCTCCGTCCCCCTCCCCATTCCCCCCGGGCCACCCCCGCCCCCTCCCCGAGCCCCTCCCCATTCCCGTGGCCATCCCGGTGCCCAAATCCCAGCTCCCGGTGCCGAATCCCGTTACTCACCCGCTCGATGACCCCGTCCACGTCCCGCTCCTTGAAGAGGAAATGGACATTGCTGCGCCCGTGGAAATATTCCAGCACATCGCGGACCACGCGCCGCTGGAGCGGGGACTGGCCCGCGGCCACCGCGGCCACCGCGGCCACCCCCAGGGCCAGCGGCAGCCACAGGGACACCGGGAGCCTCATCCCGCCGGGAGCGGCCTCACGGATTCACGGGCCGCTGGCGTCGGGCCGGCATGAGCCGATTTCCTGGGATCTGCCCCCAAATCCGCCCCCGGCACGGCCCCGCGGGTCACCCCCCCCCCCCACGCCGCGGGGCCCGGGAGGAGGGGCTGGCATGGGATGGGATGGGATGGGATGGGATGGGGGGAGAGACCCCGGGAATGGCGTCATGGGCTGGGAATGACATCGGGAACAGCCTGCAGCCCCCGGGAATGGGCTTGTGCTCCCCGGGAATGGCGTCATGGGCTGCTGGGAATGACATCCCGCCCTCGGGAATGGGCTCCTGCCCCCCAGGAATGGGCTTGTGCTCCTCGGGAATGGGCTACTGACTATAGGGAATGACATCGTACCCTCGGGGATGACATCCTGCCCCCCGGAACAAACTCCTGACCCCCGGGAATGGCTCCTGTCCCCCGGAATGGGCTTGTGCCCCTTGCGAACGGGCTCCAGGTCCTGGGAACAGCCTCCTGCTCTTGCCGCTGTCCTTGTCCCGGCTGTCCCCTCCTGGGAGCAGGAGGAGGAGTGTGGGGGGAGGGAGGGGATGAAGGCCGGGGATGGGGTGGGGGGGTGACATCCGGAGCTGTGGGGGACACCGGGAGCACCACGGGGATCCGGGAGGCACGGGGGATTAGTGGGAGGCACTGTGGCTGTGGGATTGTTGTGGGTTTAAATCTTCAAAAGAGCTGAGCAGTTGTTGGTTGCTATAAAGTTGTTTATCGTAAAGACACATCAGTCTCAAAAGACAAAGTGTCCCAAGGCTATAAAGTCCGTGTCAAAACTTTCTGGCATAAAATCCCAAATAGAAGTAAAGTCCCGATTAGAAGAAAAGTCCCGATTAAAGCAGAAGCAGCTCCTGTCGAGGCCCCAAGAGGGCCGAGGTTGCAGCCGCAGCTCTTCTCTTCTTCTGAGTGATGATGAGGAGGAGGAGAAAGGAGAGAGAGGGTCTATACCCAATACACAGATTTCTATTTACAAATTACCCAATGAGCTGAAAACACGAACCTGAAGCATTTCTTCTAAACCTATTAGAATTCTGGTTCTATAATACGAAAGTTTACGTATAATTTGCTCATATAGCCTTATCTGTTCTATCTGAAGAATGTAAACAATATCCTTTCTGTATTTTTATTGTGTCCAGAACTATGCTTGTGAGCTCTCACTTGTTTTTGAAACTTGTTTTTGTGCTCTCACTGCAGTTTGTTTTTCACAATCAATTCTAAGGCTTTTGCTCTTTAAGGTACTTAAAACATATTCTTACTTAAACTTACTTACTTAAAACTTAAGCTTACAGCTCTATTTCATATCTGTGCGGCTGAATGTACTTTAATTTCTCTAAAGGTTTTAATTCAATTCCTGCACTCTGATCTCTCTCTGAAGAACTCAGAGAGGCTCCTGTTTCACACACTCCAACACTGGGGAGCACTGGAACTGTACTGGGGGGCACTGGGGGGGACACTGGGGCTGTACTGAGAGGACACTGGGGGACACTGGGGCTGTACTGAGAGGACACTGGGGGGACACTGGGGGGACATTGGTGGGGCGGGGTCTCTCCGGCCCCTCCCATCCCCTCTCCGCATGGCGCCGCCAGGGGGCGCTGCCCTCCGGCCCCGCCCCACGACCCGGAACGGGGCGCGGCCGGACGCGGCCGTAGCGAGAGGGCACCGTGACGTCACCGACGCACTGACGTCATCGAGCGTGTGACGTCATCGCGGCGCGGGGCAGCGGCCGCCCGTGAGTTTCCCCGGGAGGGATGCTCGGGGGTCGCGGTCACGGAGACACGGGGGGGCGGTGGCCGGGAGAGGGTCGGGGGCCCGGCGGGGCTCGGGGTGCCGCGCCAGGGGGTGTTTGGGGGGGCGCGGGGGCCCTGGGGGGTCTCGGGTTGTGTTTGGGGGTGTCAGGAGCTGCTGGAGTCTCGAGAGGGGAGCGGCGGGTCCGGGGCTCCCCCGGGAGGGAGCTGGTGCTGGGGCGCACGGGGGGCGCTCCGAACGCCCCCGAGGTGCGGCCGGCACCGAGGAGAGCCGGGATCCCCGAGTGCTGGGAGCTGCCGCAGGAGCGGGCGGGCCCGGGGGGACCCGGCCCGGTGGTACCGGGGATGTTCCTGGTTCCCGGGGCTGTGCCCGGCTCCTCGGGCCGTTCCCATCTCCCGTCTCCCAGGCTGTTCTCAGCTCCCGGAGCTGTTCCCGGCTGATGCAGTGATTCCATGCCGGGGCTCCTCCCGAGCCTCAGGGCTGTTCCTGACAGTCGAGGCGAGGTTGTGCCGGGGCTGCTCCCAGCTCCCGGGGCCATTCCCAGTTCCCGGCTCTATTCCCGGTTCCCGGGGCTATTTCTCTCTCCCGGGGCTGCTCCCAGGGCCATTCCCGGCTCCCGGCGCTATTCCCATCTCCCGGGGCTATTCCCGGTTGGACAGGTCGCTGCCGTGCCGGGGCTGTTCCCATCTCCCGGGGCTATTCCCGGGGCTATTCCCAGGGCTGTTCCCGGCTGCAGAGGCCGGTGCCGTGTCAGAGCTGTTCCCTGCTGTCGCTGCCCCCTAATCCATGCAATCCCATCCAATCCCATGCAATCCCGTCCCATCCCGAACTACAACTCCCAGCGCTCCCCGGCTCTCGCCGTTCACAGCCGGATCCGGCCCCGCTCGGCGCCTTCCGCACCCCAAATTCCGGGGGGAGGAGGAGGAGGAGGAGGAGGAGGAGGACGACGGGGGGGCCGAGGCCGCCGAAGCCGCTCCGGGACCGCCGCGTTTCTCCGGCCTGGTTCCGCCGCCCTTCCCCTCCCGTTCCCGTTCCCGCTGCCCTTCCCCTGCCGTTCCCCTCCCGTTCCCTCTCCCGCTCACATCCCGGCTCTCCCGCTCTCCCAGGACCCCGCCGCGGCCATTTGAGGGAGTCGGTGGCGGAAGGAGACCAGGAAAAGGCTGGGAAGAGACCGGGAAGGAGCGCTCGAGGAGGCCGGGAAGGGGCCGGGAAGGGGCCCCGGGGCCGCGATGTCCGCGGGGGGCGCGCCCCAGGTACGGGGGGATCCCGGGGGCATTCCCGGGGGGATTCCCGCTCCTCCGCCCCCCCAGGGCATTTGGGGGGATTCCCGGGACCGAGCGCTTTTCCGATGGTTTTTCCCTCCATCCCTGGAGCTCCGCAAGAGTTTTTCCGGGAAATCGGCGCGTTGGGAAGTCCCGGAGCGCGGGAGGGGGGCGCAACCCCTTCGGCTGTGCCTCCACCGGGATCGGGGGTTTGGGGACACGAGAGGAATCCAGGAAGGCGCGGGGGATTTGGGAGGGCTCAGTGTCCCCGAAAAAGCGGGACTGGAACGGTTCCTCCTCCGTGCGGGTCCTGGCTGGAAAAGGAACTGGTTTGGGGCGTGGGCAGTGGGGACCGGGGGGACAGGGAGCTGGTTTGGAGGAGCAGGGTTGGGCATCTGTTTTAGGGGAACAAGGATCTTGCTTGGGCAGAAGGGATCTGCTGGGGAAGCAGGGATTTGGTTTGGAGGGGTGGGGATGTAATTTGGGGGAGGAGGGATCCATCCTGGAGCAAGGAACCCAGACCTCATATTTGGGATGCAGGAGTAGGGGCATGAGCCCTGCACTTGGCCTGTGGCCAAGCCCAGGGAAAGTCCCCAAACATCCCAAAATGACCCAAATGGCCCCAAAATGCCGCTGAACCGCTGCCCCCTCCCCAGCCCGCCCACGCCCTGGATCTGCTCCCGTATTCCCGGCTGAGCCCGGCGCCGAGGGCCGGATCCCAGCTGGATGCTGTGGGCGCCGAGATCCCCTCGGATCCCTGCACAGGTGAGTGGGGGGCACAGCCTGGGATCCCTGCACAGGTGAGTGGGGGGGCACACCCTGGCGTGGGGGCTGGTGTGGAATTTTCCACGCAGAGCTTGGTGCATTTTTGTGGGAACTTTGAACTGGGATGATGAAAGTGTTGCGGGGATTCCCGGGGATGGGAGAGGCTGTGGGGAGAGCCCAGAGCCCGGGAACGGCTCCGTCCCACCTCACCTGGAGCTGGGTTTGGGAGGAGCAGCTCCGTCCCCCAGTGGCAGAGCCCGCTTTTCCCAGGAGCAGCTCAGTCCCTGCTCAATCCCAGCTCGATTCCAGCTCAGTCCCGGCTCATCCCCGGCTCAATCTCGGCTCAGTCCCGACTCAACCCCAGCTCTCCCAGTAGCAGCTCAGTCCCTGATCCCGGTGCCCGTGTTCCCCAGGGTACCGGTTCTTTAAGCCGGGCGGTTTGTTTGGGATGAAGCCGCCGGAGGAGCCGTTCGGAGCCGCACGGACGGGCCCGGAGGATTCCAAGGCTCTGGGCAGCCCCTGCGCTGGTGAGTCCGGATCTGTGGGAATGGGGGAGCAGTGGGATTGGGGGGCTCAGGGGAAAAGATGGGCTGGGATGGTTTGGGGGCGTTCTGGGCCCGTTTAGAAATTTTTGGGGCCAGCTGGGCGCTGTTCTGAGCCAGTTGGGACCAATTTAAAGATCTTCTTCAGCCATTTTGGGCCAGTTTTCGTCCATTTTGGGGCCATTCTGCGCCAGGTCACAGCCACTTATGACCGATTTATGTTAATTCTGAGGCTGTTGTGGGCCAGTTTTGTGAGCCGGTTCTGGCCACTTTAGACCAGTTTTTGCCATTCTGAGCCAGTTTGGACGATTATGGACCTGAGTGTCACAAACTGGGGAGTTCTGGGTGTCACAGACCGGGAGGGTCTCAGGGAGTCGAGGCCCTTTGGGGTGTCCCAGGTTCAGCGGTGAAGGGCCCACAAGGAATAGGGGGGCTGGAGCCGGGTCCTCCCCGCTCGGCACAGCCCGGAATTCTCGGGCAGCCGGGATAACCCCGGCATCTCTCCGGTGCAGTGGAGCCCGGGCGGGTGAGCAAGGTGGAACCCGAGGAGAAGCCCGGGATTGGCGCCGGCTCCCTGGAGCTGTTCCCGGCCGCGGGCGGCAGCTCCGGCCGCTGGTTCCCCGGCGGGCAGCGCGGCCCCGAGCCCCCCCGGGACCCCCCGGCCCCTCGTGCCGGCTGCTGGGGGGCCCAGGGGGGCGTCCCCGGCCCCTTCCGCTGCGCCCAGTGCGGGAAGGGCTTCCGGCAGAAGCAGAGCCTGGTGACGCACGAGCGCATCCACACCGGGGAGAAGCCGTTCCGCTGCGGGGACTGCGGGAAGAGCTTCAGCCAGCGGCCCAACCTGCTGACGCACCGGCGGGTGCACACGGGCGAGCGGCCCTTCCCCTGCGCCCAGTGCGGCAAGAGCTTCTCGCAGAAGGCCAACCTGCTGGCGCACCAGCGCATCCACGGCGCCCACCCCGAGGAGGGCAAGGCGCGGGCGCGGGCGCCGGCGCGGGGCTGTCCCGAGGACGCGCCCTTCGTGTGCCCCGAGTGCGGGAAGAGCTTCCGGCAGAAGCCCAACCTCATCACGCACCGGCGCATCCACACGGGCGAGCGGCCCTTCTCCTGCTTCCTGTGCGGCCGCAGCTTCAACCAGAAAACCAACCTGGTGACGCACTACCGGGTGCACACAGGTGAGCGGCCCTTCGCCTGCGCCCAGTGCGGCAAGCGCTTCACCCAGAAAACCAACCTGGTCACGCACCAGAGCACCCACACCGACCTGCGCCCCTTCCCCTGCGCCCAGTGCCACAAGTGCTTCAAGGACAAGGTGTCCCTCAAGGCCCACCAGAAGACGCACATCCCCCGCCAGCGCCGCTGCCCCGCGCGCGGCCCGGCCCCCGCCGCGCCCTTCGGGGCCGCGCCCGCCCTGCTGCCCCCCGCGCCCGCCCCGCAGGACCCCGCCCCGTTCGCCCCGCTCCCGCCCGCCCCCAAGCTCCCCGAGGGCGCCGAGCTCTTCCCGTGCCCCGACAAGGGCTTCCCACCCCCCCCGCCCCCGGGTGAGCCCCCCTTCCCCTGCGCCCACTGCGGCGACGGCTTCTGCCCCAAGGTGCCCCTGCTGCGGCCCCCCGAGGCGCCCGCCGCGCCCTTCGCCCCCGGCCCTCCCCTCCTGGGGCCCCTGGGGGCGCAGCCGGGGCCGGGGGATGCCACGGCCCCCCCCCCGGAGAAGCCCTTCATCTGCAACCAGTGTGGCAACAGCTTCGGGCTCTGGCTCGCCCTCGTCGCCCACCAGAAGAGCCACGCGGGGCACAAGCCGTGCCCCGGCGCCCCCCCTGCCGAGCCGGGCGCCGAGCAGCCCCCCGGGTCCCCCCCGGCTCGGGCGGCGGGCGAGGCCCGGCCCTGGCCGTGCCCCGAGTGCGGGCGGGGCCTGGCGCAGTGCGAGCGGCTGCCGCGGCACGGGCACGGCGCCGGCGGGCGCGGCCCCTTCCGCTGCGACACCTGCGGCAAGCGCTTCAGCCTCAAAACCAACCTGGCCACCCACCAGCGCATCCACACAGGTGAGCGGCCCTTCACCTGCGGCGTCTGCGGCCGCCGCTTCAACCAGAAGGGCAACCTGGTGACGCACTACCGGGTGCACACGGGCGAGCGCCCCTTCGCCTGCGCCCAGTGCGGGAAGCGCTTCGCGCAGAAGCCCAACCTGCTGGCACACCAGAAGACGCACCTGGGCCGCCAGCCCTTCACCTGCCTCGAGTGCCCCAAGCGCTTCAAGAGCAAACTGTCCCTGCGGGTGCACCAGCGGGTGCACACCGGGACCCCCGGCGCGGCCCCCGGCGCCCTGGACCCCGCCGGGAGCCCCTTCCCCTGCGCGCTCTGCGGGGAGGCCTGTGCGGAGCACGGGGGGCTCCGGCCGGGCCACGGCGGCGGCGGCGGCGAGCGGCCGCACACCTGCGCCGAGCAGCTGCACACCTGTGCCAAGTGTCCCCACGGCTGCGCCGAGCGTCCCCACGCTTGTGCCGAGCATCCTCACGGCTGCGGCGAGCGGCTCCACACCTGCGCCGAGCAGCGCCGCACCTGTGCGGAGCATCCTCACCCCTGTGCGGAGCATCCTCACACCTGCGAGCGACCCCACACCTGCGGGCAGCCGCAGCCCTGCGCCGAGCGGCCGCACCCCTGCGCTGAGTGTCCCCACCCCTGCGAGCAGCCCCACGCCTGCACCAAGCGGCCCCACACGTGTGAGCAGCCCCACGCCTGCGCCGAGCATCCTCACACCTGTGCCGAGCATCCTCACCCCTGCGAGCGGCCCCACGCTTGTGAGCGGCCCCACCCTTGTGAGCAGCCCCACACCTGCGCCGAGCCGCCCCACACCTGCCCCGAGCAGCCCCACGCGTGCGCCGAGTGTCCCCACGCGTGTGCCGAGTGTCCCCACGGCTGCGCCGAGCGGCCCCACACCTGCGCCGAGTGCGGGAAGCGCTTCCGGCAGAAGGTGAACCTGGCCGTGCACCTGCGGACGCACACCGGGGAGCGGCCGTTCCGCTGCGCCGACTGCGGCAAGGGCTTCAGCCAGAAGGCTCACCTGCTGCGGCACCGCCGCACCCACGGCGCCGGCCTGGCCGCGCCCTGCGCCGCCGGGGACCCGCTGGCCAAGGGCCCCGAGCCCCCCGCGCTGCTGCTGCCGCCCTGCTCCCGCGGGGCCCCCCCGGCGCGCCCCGACAGCCCCTCGGGCGCCGCCGACATCCTCCTGCAGCTGATGCAGGACGAGCCCCCTCCCGGCCCCGGCCCGGCCGCCCCGGCCCCGGTGCCCCCCTGTAAGTGCCCCGGGGGGGGCCCGAGCCCCAGGGCGCCGGGGCTGCCCCCCCCGTGCTGCTGCGCCGCCTGCCTGGCCCCCCGCCCTCCCGAGCCCCCCCGCGGGCAGCTCTGGGCCAAGGCCGGCGGCTGCGCTCGGGCCTTCGAGGAGAAGCGAGTGCCGGGAGCGCCGGAGCGGGAGTGCGGCGAGGAGAAACCGGCCTCGTGCCCCGGCTGCCTGTGAGCCCCCGCTGGGACCTGCGCTGAGACCCCCGCACCGGGACCCCCCACCCTGCCCCCCACCATGGAGCCCACACCGAGACCCCCCCCCAGCAAGGGCCGGCCCTCGGCTCCTGCGCTCAGCCACGGTGAACCTGCAGAGGATGGAGGCGAGGGGACAGAGCCGAGGGGACGGAGGCGAGGGGACAGAACTAAAGGGATGGAGCTGAGGGGTCAGTGCCAAAGTGACACTGCCAGCCCCGCTCGGCGCTGGGACTTGGAGGAGCCTCCAGCAGGGGCAAAGCAGAGCCAGGCTGGGACATGGCACATTTCTGGCTCGGGAAGACACCAAAGGGCTGGAGGAGACAGCGCTGGACACGGATCTGTCGTGTTGGCTCCAGCTCACAGACCAGGAACAGCTGGATGCAGTGGAATTGCATCCACTGCAGACAGACTTGGGACAAGAGGGTCTCTCAAGGGCTCCCTCTGCTTCCAGAACCTTCCGCCCTGTTCCGGGCTGGGTGGATTACCTATGGACACGGTTGGGGTGGGAGTGGGGGGCTGGTGCAGGCTGGGATCCCCAGTGCAGCTCCGTGTGGAGGAGCTGGGAGCACGCTGGGACAACGGCCAGGAAAAGGGCCCGGGAGGGCTCAGCTCTGCTTCCAGAAGGGCCCTGGAGGTGCCTCCGGTGCGGGGGGGATGGGGGCAGCTTGTGCTTCTGCTTGCTCTGGGTAACTGCGCTTTGAGACTCAATATTCCGGATTTTTGGGATGGGTGGTGCCGGGGTGGCCGCTGGAGCTGGAGTCGTGGTGGTGGGAGGCTCCAGTGGCACACACGGGGTGCTCTGCTGGGGTTTCTGTGGTGTCTCCGTGTCCCCCCTGGTGTGACAGAGCCGGGGATCCACGGTCTGCGGCGGAGCTTCGGCCACAGACACCGCTGGGAGCTGCCAGTGCTTCACCCCGAAGGGAATCGGATCCTCTGACGGGACCGACACCGGGACAGCCGCCCCCGGAGCCCCGGCTGGGCAGGGGGTCCCACTCCTGTCCCCCTCCCCCAGCTCTGCTCTCTGCAATTCTATTTTTTGAGGTTATTTAAAATAAAAGCTTCTGATGGCTCTGGGGCTCCAGGTGCTGTGTCTGGGACTGGGGGGGACACAGGGGCCTCTTGGAGCCTCGATCGTGGCCTGAGCCCCGGGAAAGGCTCTGCCCCCCAGCCCATGGCCAAGGGGCCACCAGGACAGTGCCAGTGCCAGTCCTTCCAATGTGCTCTGCCACCACCACACCTCACCTGGACACCAGATGAGAGCTCAGGGTTAGGGTGGCCAGCAGGCTGACCCCAGGGTCACTGTCACATCCACAGAGGTGGCACCAACGTCCCCGGTGCTCCCTGGGAACAGATGGGAGTCTCACACTGAGGGGACCGACTGGGACACAGACACCCTGTGCCACTGGCCAGGCGTGTGGCTGTGCTGGCCCTGCCCTGGCTGGGGACACCCAGTGCCACCCCGGGTGGGTTCTGGGAGGTTTGGGCACAGGGGCTGCAGGGCAGGACCCGGGGGACTCCGGGGATCCCTGTCCTGGGCTGGACACGCCGTGTGGGACCCTCGGGGCTGGGATCCTGCGGTGTGGGACCGTCGGGGCTGGGATTCTCCCTCCAGCCGGGGGTCCCAAATCCCGGAGTCTCCAGGGCGGTTCCTCGGGATTTGGGGGGGTAATCTCGGGCGGGGGCCGTGCCCCGGGGAGATCCTTTTGGAGGGGTGGGTGTCGCTAGCGGGGGGGGGGGGGGGGGGGGGGGGGGGGGGCCGGATCCCGGCACCCAGCAGAGACCCCCGCCTCGCCCGGGGACCCCTCGGAGCCCCCCAGAGCCGGTTCCGGCGCCCTTCCCCCTCCAGCCCAGCCCAGCCCCTTCCGCCGCCGCCATCGGGCCCCGCCCGGCCATGCAGCGGGTGAGCCCGGGGCGTTCCGGGGGTTCCGGGCGTGCCGCGGCCGCGGGGGCCCGGCGGAGGGAATGGGGGGTCCGGGGGTCCCTAAGGGGGGTGCGCGGGGCTGTCGCGACCAGTCCGGTCGGGATGAGCGGGGGGTCCCTTTGGGGGTACCCAGCGAGGGGCACCCGAGCCCCTCGTCCCTGAGCCCCCCGCTGTCGCTGCCAGGGGGTGCCCCCCGAGGTGACATTCGAGGAAGTGGCCGTGGGTTTTTCCCCGGAAGAGTGGGCGGAGCTGGTGCCGTGGCAGCGGGCGCTGTACCGTGAAGTCATGTGCGACAACTACGACCTGGTGGCCAGCCTGGGTGAGGGGACGGGGGCGTGGGGCTGGGGCTGCCCAGGGCAGGGCTGGGGGTGCCATGGGGCTGGGGACACAGTTTGAGGCTGAGCTGGGGGTTCAGAGGCTGAGCCGGGTGTCTGGGGGGCCTGGGGTCTCATTCGGGGGTTCAGAAGCTCAGCCAGGGGTCTGGGGACGTGGCTGGGGGGCTGTAGGCTCGGTCTGGGTTCCGAGGCCGAGCTGCGGGTCTGGGGGCGGAGCCGGGGGTCTGCAGCCCGATTTGCCCCACAGAGCTCCGGGTGAGTCCCGGGTGTGAGGGACAGTGGCCCCAGGTACCCCGGCCCTGCTGCCCCCAGCACAGCCCCCCGGCCTGGGGACGGTCCCCTGGTGACCGTGACACTGCCCAGGTGTCACGGGGGCACTGAGGGTCTTCTCTCCCACGCAGACACCAACTCCAAGTTCGGCCACATGAAGGAGGATTCCCCCGGGGGGGTTCCCAGCGCTGGGGGGCCCAGCGGAGCTGCCGACATCACCGACACCTGTGAGTGACCGGGGACACCCCGTGGGGACCCGTCTGGGGCCGGGGGGTCGCTGTGGGGCGAGGGGCTGGCCCTGGCCAGAGCCCCTGTCTGACCACCCCCGGGTGGGTTGGGAGTCCCCCCCACGGTGTCACAGGGGCGGTGGTGGCTCCAGGACTGTCCCGCGGTGACGCTCCGTTCCCAGCAGGTGCCGGGAATGGCTCTGACGGCAAGGATGACACCGGGGGACCCTGGGAGCCGGGCTCCGATGTGCCCCGCTCCGGCTGGCGTGGCACCGAGCCGGGGGGCTGTGCCCAGCCCCTGGCCCGGCAGCTGCCGGAGCTCCTCACCGGCGGCACCCGCGGGGCCGAGGCCGCGCCCCGGGCACAGCCGGACCGGCCGTACCTGTGCGGCACCTGCGGCAAATCCTTCCGGCACCGGCGCAGCCTCCTGGCGCACAAGAAGCTGCGGGGAGGGGCCCGGGCCCGGCACGGCTGCGCCAAGTGCGGCCGCACCTTCTGCCTGCGGGGGGACCTGCTGCGACACCGCGACACGCACCGGGCGCGGCCCGGGGGCCACGGGCGCTGCGCGGAGCCGGGCGAGGAGCAGCCCTTCGTGTGCGAGCGCTGCGGGCAGAGCTTCAGCTGGAGGGAGAGCCTGGAGCTGCACCTGAGGAGACACCGCGACCCCGAGCGCGCCCACCCGTGCCCCGAGTGCGGGCGCGTGTTCCCGCACCCCCGGTACCTGTGGCTGCACCGCCGCAAGCACTCGGGCCAGCGGCCCTTCCCCTGCGCCCGCTGCGGCCGCGCCTTCGCCTCGCAGGCCAACCTGAGCACGCACCGCAGGACACGGCGGCACTGCCGGCCCCGCTGCCAGGCACCCCGCGGGGACAGGGACAGGGACACCCGCGGGGAC